GGGGGGGGGGGGGGAGGGGGGAAGAAAAAGTGAGAGAAGAACAAAGTGAAAGTAGAGTAGAGTCGAAAATTCCTCCTTCGTGCGGGATCTCATTGGGAAGAATTCATATCAGAGCGACGCCGCCGCCATATCAAATTTGCAGTCGCAGTCGCGACATTATTGTATCTCTCCGATACACAATTCTCAGCACAGGCCACGCAGGTGATTCGGAGAAGCGCGTGACGATGACGACGACGATGACGATGTAAAAACTGATCGCTTTGCTCGCCCGGGCAAGACAAAAGAATCGAGAGCGAGAATGGGAGCGCGAGAGCACGACGATTACCACGACGTGCCTCGCCGCGGCGACGATGTCGCGCGACCGGGATGATTATCACTGCCTATCTACTTGCGAAACACCTCAGCCGTTTCCCGAAGGCGACGAGAGCGTCTCGCGACGATCTGCGCGAAGACGAACGTTTTAAATTTGCGGGGAGTATTTAAAAGCGCATTGAGTATACACACGACGATCGGGATATATCATACGTCCGCCCATGCACAGCCTGGATCCACTGCGACGCGGGCCGCACACGTGAGAGCGCTGCGTCTTCATTGTACTGACGAAATCGCTCACCGACGCGCATCGCCTCGCAATTTCGTGGGAACGTCGCGTTTTTATATGCACACATAAACTCGAGAGACGGAGACAGAAAGGGAAAAGCCGAGATCTCTCTCAGGAACATGTAGAAAGACACAAGTTTCTCGCGAGCGCGCACTCGCCTAACCGTTCGAGAAATTCGCGTTTTTTCCCTTTTCTTATTTCTCCCGGTGAGGAATCGAAACTCCGGAATGCGTCGCGCAACTTGTCGCTTAATCGCACACGTATCGGTTTTATACGAGAATTTACAAGTCTACACATCCACCATCTCTGCACATACACACATACACACACACACACACGTGCACACGCTGCACGAAAAGTTTCTCTCACTTACATCCCAAATCCGCACCCTCGATTGTTCTCGAAAGAAGTTCATTTTTGCGATCGGTCGCGTCAAACGCGGCCCTTCGTCTCGCGCAAGATACAGCCGCGGACGAGAATCCCTTCAGACATACGTTTTTTACAACATCACACGCACTCAAATCCACGTACACACGCGTTCCCACGACGGTCCCGGCCCGCGGCGCACCGTTTCTGAGCATGATCGGTTGTATAATTTAGCGGACGAACGGTACAGCTTTCCGGCGGGCGCCCGCGCGCCCGCCGCGAATTTGCTTTCTTCTCGCAAGTACTAGAGAATACTGTTTTTTATAATATTATATATATAAATAAATATATATATATAAATATATATACAAACGAACAGAAATATATATATATGTATATGTGTACGCGCTCAAATACGTTGCACATGGGTGTTGAATATTGAACAAGTTTCAGCTCGCACGAACGAGGGGCGCACATAAAAAGCGGATACGTAAGACGTACGTTCTCGTTGAGAGGATTTTTTCTTTTTCTTTTTTTTCTTTTTAGAACAAAAGTCCCGAAGAGAAGATGTATACACGCGCGCAGCGGGTGGAAATGCGAGGGTGGGTGAGTGGGTGAATGAGAAAGCGAGAAAGATAGATAGATAGAGAGAGAGAGAGAGAGAGAGAGAGATTGATAAAGGTAGAGATACAGGTGATAGGGAGAAGC